AGGTCATACGTCAGCAACATTTACAACAGTAAGGAAAGCACCTCTTAACTGAAACTACACCACCTGAGTGCTACATGTCTAAAAATACTGAGGATGAACCATCAAATATATGTCTTTTCACTCAGGTTCAAGTTCCCCCTCAGAAACCTGTGTGCTTTGATTCTCGCTAAGTGGTTTCCCATTGTGGACGCTGAAATTCAAGGCTGTAATGTGTCTGCAGGGATCACGCTATGCAATTTGAAGGTCAGAATTTAAACTCTCTACACCCATTTGGGCAAACAAGGTATGAAGGTACTGTGTCCACAGACGAGCTGCGTTATAAAAGTTAGGGGAGATGTATCCCTGCCATCTTTCTGATGATGTAAAGCTACATAACTGATTTCTGTATTAATTTGAGCTCATGTCGCCTCTTCACTGAGGATTGCTCACACGTGATGCTCACATACAGTATCTTTACATGTCACAACTATGCTCAGCAACCTGTTGACTGTGTTTTTTTTTAGTTTTTTTTTTTTGTAATTTTTTAAACATTTGCGGTCTTCGCATTTTACTCCTTTTCTTTCCCAAACTGGAAAAGGCAATTCCCTGTTTTGCTGTTTGCTTAACACCACTTTTGGCCTGGGAAGTGTGTAGACAGCCAAGCTGATCTTTGCAAAAAGAGCATGATGGTCAGATTATTAACAAAGATAGAAAATAAGAAAAAAATCATCCACACCCATTCAAATGATTACCTTTTTATCATAAAATACTCAATACTTTTACTTCTACAGACGAAAAACCTTTTAAATGTTACCATTTGAGAAGGCAATATTTGGTTGAATTGCTCACAAAAAATGTGCAACCTGTGCTAAAAGGGTCACAAGTTGACATCACTTTAAAGCCTCTAAAGTCTAAAACACTGACCTAGTGCTTCCTGCTATTTTCTTTGTTTTTGGGTCATTTTTTTGCTTCTTTTAGACAGTGGACAGCGAGCAAGAATTGAGGGGACAAACACAAAGACATGGTCAAATAGTGCTGGCAAAAAACAAAATATTTTATTAAGTGTTATGTACTGGGTCTGCCCCAGCACATGCGTCAGCATTGTGGTTGTCTGTCAGAAGTTCTGTCATAATTTCACTTTTTCTCCAGTTTTCAGTCAAACTATTTAGATCTTGGTTATTTTTAACGATATATTTTAACTGGCTGATGGATTTTAGTCATTGGACGTCTGGATCTTAAGTTATCAGAGAAACAAGCTGAGCAAGCAGCTCATCCTTTGTCTGCCAAACAGCATTAAAAAAATAAGGTGAAACTGCTTTATTTTATGTTTGTACAAGCACAGGAAAGCCGGTTCAAAGGATTGATTACAGTAGATGCTAATAAAAAAAAAATCAGGTGTCCCCACAGCTGGGACAGAATCCTGTCTAACTCCTGTCTCTGCTCTGCCTGCCCTCTAGTCAATAAAGGACAAGCACAAAGGCAAACAGAATAACCACTGAGACTTTTTAACTCGGTGTTGTAAACAGCCACAGTAATAAAGGACAGACTCCTCTTTGCAGTATCACTGTCTGACAAGAAAGCGCAAAGGCAAACCTTCTTTCTTCACATATCAGAAAGGAAAATAAACTGAATTTACATAACTGTCAGAGAGTAGAAAAGCATATTTGATGGTGCAAATATGATCCCGTCTTTGCTGACACAAACCGGATATTTCAAGAAGTGAAAGCTCATATGTGCATTAGTAAATCAACTTGCCTGCTTGCTGAAATGAACTAAATTCGCCCTGCTTGTCAGGGAGTAGGCTTAGTTCTCCTCTTCTTGTGTTCTCTGGCAAGAAATACATTTTCTCTATTTTAGACGTGTTCTGGGTTCATCTCATCCCTTGAATGATAACAGGTTTACAGCAACAGAAATAACACCCAGGGGAAATTAGGGGGCTGTGGTGGCTATCAGAGAGAAATTGAACGCATGCGAGATTATTCTGATCCACTTCCTGCTGAAATGATGAGCGCCTTGAGTGGGGATCGCTGCCAATCAAAGCCACGCACATCAAAGCGCCGCGCTCCCGTCTAATTGGTCGACAAAGAGAGGAGAGGTACGCGCGATTTCTATCATTCTCACAAATGGACATCCTGTCCGGCAGCAGCAGTGCCTGCACACCACCAATTACCTGAGGCTGTGTATTGTCAGTGGGACTCCCAGTGATGAAACATGTGGGTTGGCCTCTACTTGTAATGTTGCTGAGTTGCCATAATTGATCTCCCTGGGTTTTACTAGTGACGACTCGACAACACTTTTAATGAGGCAAGGGTAGACGAGTTTGACTCATACCTCCAAAATAGCTGTTTCAATCCAATTACCCTGCAATTCACTACTGTGACATGTTATTTGTGATGCTGTGTAGTGAGAGATTCCTTTCCAGACACCTCGTATGAGAAGCAGGAGCCACTGTGACAGCACTCCCTCCACGCCTTTGTCCCACGTCTTTGGTGCAGCGGTTCACCCTGCTTTGGATGGAGAGCCGAGGCTTCACACCATGAGCAAATCAAACAAGCCTCCTTAAGTTCACTTGCTTCCCACAGAGCTGCGTGAACAGATGGGTAGAAACTCGACAAGCCTTTGCACAGAGATAAGTTGTTTCTGTCTAGACATGAAGGATAGCTTTGACCTCATTTTGAGCCTCTTTGGACCACCTGACTGACTGCTAACGTTGAGCGCATGGCAGGACTGAGTGTCTTTAGCTTGACTTGCTCTTCTTTATTGAAAGAGTTGGGCAGGGGTCTCACTTTCTGAACCCTTTGTTGAATTATATAACAATAATAAGGATAGGAAAAACTGCCTACAGCTGAACCTTCATGGGTCTTTGGCTGTCATCAGATTCCTGCGACTTTATTGTTTTCCTTGTTCTATGAAGCAGTTCACTTTGTAGGATTCCTGTCATTCAGAGCTTTCTGGTTCCCCATATCTACTGGAACAAACATCTCAAAGGGGAACTCTACACATCAGTGTCAGTTCAGTAGTCATAAAGAGTATGACTCAGCCTGTGGAAACAGTCGTTCGGCGTCTTCTCTGGCTCTGGAGGAGCTTTGTCAGATATTCCTGAATGATGTCATTAGGCGTCACTCAGGTTGGGTATAGTAAGCCTGCAATAAAAACTGAATTTACCAGTCAGGGGGAACAAAAACACAGTGACAGTCTGTGCACCGTGGCACGCTTCAATCGCCGTCATGTGTTCATGTAAATATGTAGTGATGGAGAGTACGTATTCTACAGTGTTTCTATGTCCTGGAGACACACATAATGCAGACTGGAAACAAATTTCCCCTTGAGAACAATAACACATCTATCTTTCTATTAAGATGCATTCTTGCATTGTTGGATTCATGATTTCGGAGCTCGACTCCCACAAGGGACTAAAAGTCATCACATCTCGGGCTCTGCTGCATCAGTTTTGACCGTTCTTTTTTTAATCTGTCTGTTGTGATGAAATTCCTCTAACATTACTGAAGTGAATACTAAATCTTTGGAATACCAGTGCAACACTTTAGAAATGGTTGGATTGATGGAAAGCTCCTAAATTGTTTTAATTCTATCTACTTTGGGGCTCTGATAAAAGTAATTGAAAGGATAAGTCTGGTTTTATCAAAAGACCAAAGCCATGGATTCATTAGTCCATCCCTCAAAACTTTATGACCTCCTGTGTGGAACTTAGCCCCAAGACTTGTTTTAAGATGTAAAGTAAATCCTGCATTTGTTGGGTGCTATTTTTATTTGCGGATTAATACACATAATGTTTGGTGTTTAAGTTTATTTTGGCCTTTTCAACTTTTACAACTCTATAACACATAAAAATAAATCAAATCAAGGCAAGTTACACTGACTGAAAAGCAGAGGTGGGAAGTAATGAACTACAAATACTTGTTACTTTAGTCTTAATGCATTTGACAGGAATTATCTTATTATTATTTTCATCATTGCATGCCTTCCCAAGATCAAAATTGGTACATGTCAAGCATGACAGATGTAACATGACGAAAACAATATAACAAGACATAACTTAGGTCAGTAGAAATGTCCTTCAGAGAAACCAAGAGAGCACTTTCTACTTTTATACTTATTTCAGAGCCTGTACCTTTCTACTTTTACTTGAGTTGAATTAGTATTAAGTAATAACTTCTTAATTTACCGAAGTCTTTTTTTACACAAGTATCTATACTTCTACTTGAGTTAATAATGTGTGTACTTTTGCCACCTCTGCCGAGAAGGTGTAAGCTGAAGCCTTAGCCTATCACACCTGCGGTTCTTATATTATTTGTTATTTATAGATCCCTTAGGTGTTATACAGTGAAAGTATAAATTATTATTACTATATATGTGTATTTCATAGTTTGAACAGTGGAGGTCTATGGCACAGAGGAATAAGCTAGATCAGGTTTTAGCCACACAGACAACACTTATTAGTCTTTTTCAAGGGGCTTGTTGGCAATATATACACAATATCACCAACCTTATCCTTTAAGTAATTTCACATAATGAAACATCAGCAAAAAATACACAATTTTGTATAAACATGTTTTTTTTGCTATGCATCTACTATCAAAATCATTTGGATAGAAATTCACAGTATAACCCATAAACCAAGCTGCTCACGCTATAAGTGAGCAATAAGGCAGTGGGATCTAAGTAGTCTGTTAGGCGATATGCTAATAATGCTTCAAACAACAAGTTATTGCAACAGCTTTGGAAACTTCTTAAGTGGTATCATGAAGCTATTTAGGTTCTGATTCCACAAGATGACGTGGGAATTAGCACAAACTGCACAGAGACAGAAGCAGGAGGTGACAGTTTAACCTTTTGTTAGTTTGCTTCACTGTAATATGTGTTTGTTCCCATAAGAAACAAGTGTTTGTCTTTTTTCATGCCCATTGCTCTGACTAATGGAAAAAGAAAAAAGTTCCTCTCTGAAATCCACTTATGGAGCAAGATAAGAGCATATGTTGATTTAGTTTTAATGCGCTCACCTGTAGTTGCTTCTGTTGGTGCGGCCATCTCCCAGACACTGATCACAAGCACCATTACAAGTAGAGCCCCTTTACTTCCGATCTGCGTGTATCGCTCACTCATCCTGGGAAAATAAAGGGGGCGTTACCACAAGGAAGTTATTTATTACAGCAGTTTTACCTATTTCAGGTAAACCCATAACATTCTTACCGTCAGAACAGCATTATACAAGGTATACGTTTAGCCTTTTACCGACCAACACCATCTACTAACATCTCTCTGCCTCCACTCTGCCATTTTCCAGTGTGAGCCTTCAGGGTGGATTTGAAGGTTTTATGGCACACAACAGGAAGAGGGTGCTGTTCTACTAGCTCACAGTTTAACTTCACAATATCTTAGCTTGTCTGAATGTATATTTGCTCTTATCAGGAGGAAATACTAGGCTCTTATCCTTCGTCTTACTTTTCAAAACAAACTACAGCTGTGAATGTGCCCTAGATCACTGTCTCCAAATCCTCTCTTTCTTCCCCTGCACCTCTTCCCCTCTCCACTCCAGCAGAAGGCTCTTACAAGCAGCAACATGAACAGAAGGTGAAGACCCTCTGCTGCCCCAACAGGCTTCAGTAAGCCTCTCTAGGCTCTACAGCGGAGTGGAAGAGAGCGAGCAGGCCGCAGTGGCTAATCCATCCCTCCACAGTACCTTTTCCTCTACACTCCCTCTCCCTAATGAAGTGTGGTGGAGCCGAGGCCACACTGCATAAGCCATCTGGCACAGTGTGTTATCATTGACAGACAACGATCACATTTCAAACGGGGGATGCAGGAGCAGTACGGTAATTACTGGAAGAGGCATGGTATCGTATGGCGTGAGCGTACAGTGTTACATGCTGCGTTTACGCCTTATTTACCGCCTCCCGCCTCTTATCTGCCGGCCTCATTGACATATAGATTGGATAAACCTCATAGGGGTTATCAGATTATTTATGTAATTAAGTTTATTTTGGCAAAGGGAACATGACCTTTTATCGAGATTTTTTTTTTTATACCTCCCAGTGTCACACAGAAATTAGAATCGAGTGATGTGTCAAAATAGTACAGACAGGACTGTTTAATATGCCCTCTAAAATTATAAATAAGGTGTCTATCATCGTGACATGCAGGCAATGACATAAACACAGGGGAAACAGTTTCTCATATGGACTTGATTCCTGTCTACATTTATGCAAATACCTTGCAAACAGTTGGTCTTGTTGTCCTGTAACTTTAATGCAATTTTATATAAAGCATGAAATTCACTTTTGAATGTTTTTAATGTCTATATTTATTGAGACTTTCAACATTTGTTACTGACTGTAAAGAAAAGCTTGACATATGGGGCGACTCTCTGCTAGTTGCCTGGCGTGCTCACAGTGACCGCAACTTTTAGTTTTGACATTTAGAGAGCAGAAAAACTGGGATTATACCAGTATCTCAATTTTTCCTGCCCCCGCTTTATAAGCCGAAAAAGTTCACCCTACACAAATCACATTCATTCAACTTTGTTTCACTCAATTTCATTCTGAATATAACTGAGTAAGCTTTTACTGTGTTACTTTATTTATTGACAGCTACAGTTACTAATTACTTCTAATTACTCATTGTTAAGCTTAAAGTTAGTTTATTATATCAAATATGATGCATTGTTGTTATGCACTTCTATTTCAACAAAAAGTAACTCCTTTTAGTTCTTTAGACAACAGAAAAAGGTTTCAGCATTAACAATCCAATGAAATAATAGATAATATAACTCATTATCACACATCTTAATACTTTTTAGTACATTTTACTAACAGTATTTAGTATGTTAGGGAATGATGGACAGTTCATTTGCTGTCTTGCTGGGCGTTAGATGAGAAGATCGATCAGAAGCCTCTACGCTAAATTGAGGTAGCGCTAGCTGGCAGTTACCTAGCAGATCACAGCACTGGAAACAACTAGCCTGGCTCTGTCCAGAAGTAATAAAAGACACAAAACTACAACATGTTGTTTGTTTTTTTTATCCATACTAAACACACAAGATATAATATGTTAATAAGTGTGCTTCAAAGGTGCCGATAAATGGGCTTTGTTACCTTTGGCCAGAGCCAGGCTAGCTGCCCCCCCGTTCCCAGTCTTTGTCCTAAGCTAAGTTTGTCACCAGCTGGCTGTAGCTTCATAGCTGTTATCAATGTAAATGTCAAACTATTCCTTTAAATATACAGCAACAAAATGTTATGTAGCAGGAGAGAGGGAAGGATAAGGAGGAGTTTGAGAGGGACACAGAGAAACTGTCTTCCTCCTGCTGGTGAAGCTGGTGAACAGCTCCCAGTTAAACTCCCAGTTAAACTTCTGATCACCTCCTATCATTGTTAAAAGCTCTGAATTGAAACCTTTTAGGTTTTAGGATCGCGAAGCAGCTTATCCTGCCAGTGTGAGAAACTAACGTTAGCTAAAGAAGCGACAAAGCAAAGCTGTCGGCTGTCAGCTGTCAGCTGTATCATTAGGTCTCATCAGTTGGACATCAGAACCTTTTCAGGCAAGCAGTTTGTCGTCATCACCATACCCCGGCGTTTCCCAACCCGCCGTATCTGCTTATTCTACACTTCCCTGAATGCTCTCTGGGAATGCTGGAAATATCTGAACATCATGTCACTTAACCACTTATCCACGGGAGGAAGAAAAATACACAGAAGGACTAAATGGACCCAACTGGTCTTTTATGGTTTCATGGTGGATTTTTCCATCAGCAAAATGACGTATACCTCCAAAGAGGCCAAGATTGCCAGCTTCATGACACTTAGCGGGGAATTCAAGGTAGTTGGAGAGACATCTGAAAGGAAATTCGCTGAAGTGTCGAGTGTGATAGCAACGTAATTGTGAGCTTTATGTATTTGCTCAAATGGACCTGAAATTGTACACCTGGGTGCTTGCACTAGAGCCGTGGGTGCTAATGTTCACCTTCATGGCGACAGATTTATAGCCGCTGGTTAGCTGAAGAATTGGAGGCTGGGTTGAAATGGTGGCCAGTCGATGTTGTGCTGTGCAATTCAGTGTGTGTGTGTGTGTGTGTGTGTGTGTGTGTGTGTGTGTGTGTGTGTGTGTGTGTGTGTGTGTGTGTGTGTGTGTGTGTGTGTGTGTGTGTGTGTGTGTGTGTGTGTGTGTGTGTGTGTGTGTGTGTGTGTGTGTGTGTAAAAGGGTGCAGAGTGCAGGGCAGAGTACTACAGCATCATTTGTTGGGTGCTGTCTCAGGGTGCAATTCTACAAATGACATCTCATTGTCCCTGAATGTGCTGTGTTGTCATTGGTGCGGCGGTGTGTTCGGCAGAGCGGGTCGCTGAAGATTTGTTACAGTTTGAGACCATTTTACATCTTGACCTTGAAGTCTTTATTAGTTTTGGAGAAACACAAAAATACTGCTGTATTATCCCAAACTACCTGCTACCTGATTTTTAAACACTGGTAGCTTTTTTTCCTGCTGCACAGGGAGTGATACATTCTGCATTTACTCCCAAAACTGTTACAATTGTATGACTCATATTCTAAAAATGATTCATGTAGCAGTTTTCTGATCTGCCACATCTTTTCTAATGGTTTGGTGAGGTTTAGAGACTAAAAAGATTCAAATATTATCCTGCTCTCCTAATTTAAGTTGATTACCGGTGGATCAAGAGACGAAGCGTAATGTTCAGGGTTTATCGTAATAAAGAAACCAAAAGAGAATTATCACCCGACTCAGCTCTACAAACCATTTTAGCAACTTTAGGTTGTTTTGGTTTTATGGCACGCAACTTTACTGTTTTGGTTTTCTTATCTGCATAATTTTGAGACGCAACTAACAGCTACCCAGCAGCAAACAGCAGACAGAGGTAGCAACCAGCTGATGAACACAGAGGAGCACTGAGTAGCAAGAGAGACGCAGTTGGTGAAGCCTAAACCAATGCTCAAATGACAGTGAATATTGGACTCTCATTCATCAAGTGGCCAGAAACACCACACAGAATGAATGCTAATTTTGCCCCATGACTGCTGGAATTAGTAATTAGGTAATTATTTGCTAACATGATCAACACAACAACTTTATACAGTGGTAATATATCAATGTTTAAAAATTAAAATACATTGAAAACCGCCTTTTAATAATAGAGAAATCAACACTTTCACTGTATCAGAATGCACCAAATGCTCGATTGCATAGCTCCAACAAATCATTTCCCCTAAAATCACATTACATTTATGTATGGGTTAAACAACTCCAGTGTTCTCCACTGTTTTCTCCAGTCTGTATGCTAAGCTAGGCTAACCATGTTCTGACTCCAACTTTGTACTCAATGCAAAGACACAAGATTAATATAAATCTCATCATCAAAAAAACAAACAACAAACAACTTTAAGTATGATCAGCTTTAGCATCATGGAATTTCTTTGAATAGTCCCTGGAATTTCATTAAAGCAGAACAATAATTAAGATAATTATCTTGTAATAATTACTGTGGCAAAGTCCTAAAGTATTGTTACAGGTTTTATTCATTTATTTTATATTTTGTTTGAATAGTAGAGCTCTTATTGCCATTGGGGGCTTTATATTGCAGGTTTTAAAGATTCAAATGGGTGTTTTGGGAAGAAACTTAGAAATTGTCTACAGTGGTTGGAAGTTTTAATTGTGCATTTTAGTCTGACAATACTTCATGTATAATGTATACCTTTTGCCAGGGAATAGGGCCTGAAGTGAAACACATAATATATGCCGATGATTGCCATAAGCATGAAATATGAACAGCACATTGAAGTTTGGAGGATAGCAGATGAAAAACAAATACTAATAAACTGAAGCCTAAATGGAATATGTAATTATCCTTTGATTGTCTGCAGTGCTGTATTTCTCCTCTTGCCAGCAGAGACAGAACGTTTTCCTATCTACAGTATATTGTGCGTGGCACTTGAGGACACTTTCAAATGCAAATGAGCACCTTTATTGAGGAATAATGCATATTCTTTTCACTGGTGTCACCTCAGTAGCTCTCCTGGATTTGTGTGCTCAAATTTATCCAGAGATTGGACTTTTATCCCTTTGTTATGAGTTGGCTCTGTTGTGAGGCATATAAGCCT